TAGCACTTTAACACCTCCTTTGAAATATTGTCTTCTGAGGGATTAGCCTTGTTGGGTGTTTAATAGGCAAACATATCTGCATTTAATCTTACCTACTCATCTAAATATATCATGTTGCTTTATACCCACTATTGTGTTGGTAATGCAACATATGTAATAATTCCATGCTGTCATCCTACAAATTCTGGATGCTGCCACCTTTCCTCATAATTACTTAGTTATTGTTTTTTTCAATTTCAATGTGTGCTAAACATCCAATTCCAGAACTAATTGCCACAAAGGATTGAGAGAGTTGCCTTCATCCAAATGCATTTGAATTCAAGGATGTTCAGAACTCAAGTGCTTGATGGAGACCTTGGCATGGAGAAGAGTAGCCAGTCACAGATTTACCAGAGCTCTCTGGTTTTAGACACAGAATTTTATTCTGGGTGTCTCAGTGAAATTATGGACTTTACCTTCTAGATCTGACAAGAAATCATATCACAATCACTCTCCTATCTTTCTGTAGCTCCTTCAATACAGGGAAATAGCCTGTATCAAACAGGCATGCCAACCTCATAGTACTAATGGCAGCCCAGTGTGAAAATACCCTTTATCTTTCTTGTTTCTGCTCAGTTCTCACTTTAGTTAATGCTAAAGCATTAGCTTTAGGTGATCCAGAAGATAGTTGATACCCTTAGGAGATTCACCTGTTCTGTCTATAAGCCAACACATCTCTGGGGGATGGTAAAGTGGAATTCCAAATCCTCTTACAGAGGACTATTATGTCAATACCATGTAAAAAGACAATCTAAGGATGTCAGCTCTCCTCAGGCATAGGACACTGGACAAATAGAGGCTAAGGGAACAAGCTTGCCCTCAAGTCTTAGTTATAAAATGAACAAGGTGCAAAAGCAGGAAAAGTATGGATTTACACCACAGCCCAGTGACTGAGCCAGAGACAATCCTGTTCCCATAACAGCCTTAATCACAAAGGTTGATCCTGCCCTGATCTAACCAGGATGGGAAGAGGGGGCACCCTGTCTGTACCAGCTGGCAGGGAGGCATTACTGGTATTATTGGTAAGTCTGTGTCCCCCAGGGCAGGTGGGCTGTGCTCTGCCTGCGCTGCTCCCTCCCTCACTGCACAGATTCCGAGACAAACTCCAGGGACTCTGTCCAGCAGTCCTTTAGGGAATCTTTAGGACAATCTTTAGGGATTACGCATGACTACTTTCCTGTAGGCATAGGAAAAATATGCATTCCTTCTAACCCACTTCCCACGTGTGGAAAAGCCATGTTGTAAAGGATATGGAATTGTAAGGATGTGGGAGCACCAACAGAACAGATGCAAGACATGCAGAGGATTTTTCTCCATCTACATTTCCTAACCAGGCAGTAATATCTACTTGATCTTCTATTTGAAGATTTGTGCTGCTATTACTACATGCACATGCTCTCTTATGAATTATTCCCAATCACTTTATAGCAAATAACTGAATTAGCTGTCTATGTACCCACAGATAATCCCCAAAATAAGCCTCTTAAGAACCGATTGTCTTGTTCCTGGTGAATGCATCCAGCCCTAAAGAATATGAACAGTGAAAGGGATACACAAATGGAAAATGGACAAGCACCATTGCATTTAGAAGCAGCCAAATATGTGTATGTGTACAGACATATGCACACTCCAACATGTACTGCAAGAAATGGTGTCACAATTACATATAATCCTCGGGTTTAGACATTTATACTGCATTGATATTATTAAAAAGCAGATTTATACTTTAAATATTTAATTGGATTAACTAAATATGTCCGGTGCATTAAAAAGCATCAATCATCCCACTACCAGCTATTTGAACCACAGTCAGTGTCCTTTTTCACAAAGTCAGACACTAATTGCTTCTGGTTGTAAAAACGTTTACAGTGCCTCAGTGGGCCAAAGGTTAGCAGGCGAGCACCTCGAGGAAGATGACTTTATCAGATAGTACATTTACAATTTTATAAAGAAGATGGTTCTTTAAAATAATTTTGAATGTAGTCTACTATAACTTAACTTTCTTCACAGCTATTGCACACAAAACACTGAGGTCCCGGAGCCTTTTTCATTTCAGCATTGCCTTTTCCATTCTTATAATCCCATTTCATCACGATGGGATTTTTGCTCTACAGGTTTTGTGGCAGAATAACCGGGCACGACTGAGCACTCCATTTGCTCACCCGCTGCATCTCCGGGTAGTTACGTCTTTATTCCTGAGGGAGCGGCAATGCAGAAGCCGAGCAGTCATTCCCATAGCCAAAAGATGATAGAGATCTCGGGGGAAAACTAACATAACCAATGACAGTCCCTGAGAGCTCACTAAATGGCAGCTTGGGAAGCATCCTCCACTCCGGAGGGTGAGGGTAGCAGAAACAGATACTGGCAGATAATGCTCGAACAGGCTCTACTATGCTTTAATCTTCCAAAGCTATCATTAGTAAGCCAGAGAAGTATATTTACCCACCAGATAAACACCACAAATTCGCTAGGCTACTCTCCACTGAGCACTGAAATAACTCCTCTTCCCTTTCGCTTCCTAAGGGGAGCGAGGTGCAGCATCGCAGCCCGCGCGGCGCTCCCGCCACTGCTCCGCTCTGGGGACGATGGGGAGGCACAAGTGTGGCCGGGCCGGGCATGACCCGGCGGGGGAGCGGGGCGGGGGGTCCGGGCAGCCCGGTCCGGGCAGCGCTGCTTTCTCCCGGGGGAGGCACCGACTCCGTCCCTGCGGAGTGATGGATGGAGGGAGATGCGCGTCGCCCTGGGGCTCTGCTTTGTTGGGTTTCACCTCCTGATCCCTTTCCCTTCTGCTCTGCTGGGCTGCAATAGCCACCTCGGCTCCGGCTCCGCGGGTCCAGCTCCGAGTGACCCGCCGCGGAGGGGATGAACTGGGGATGGCCCAGGGGAAGGCGAGAGAGCATTATTTATCCGCCACAAGTTCTCATTGTCGCGGGGCAGCGCTCAAAAGATCCCCAAGCAGTTGGCTCAAAATAAAGTAGGCATTGCTTCCCTTGTATTTCCCCTCAACAGTCGCCTTAGTATTATTATTATACTTCTATAGCTTTTGCTTTCGGACCTTGTAATTATGTCACACAGCAAGGGAAACCGCTAGCATCCCAGCATCTGGCGTGCGGTTGAAAACTTTTGTTTTAAGATTTGAACTATTTATAGAAGGAAAACTTTGTAGGATAGTAATTTCCTACGGTTTGAGAAAAATATGGCTACGCTTATATTAAAAGGGTGTATTTATTTATTTATTACCACTTCTTCCTCCTGTCTAAAAAAAAAAAATAAAATAAAAAGAAAAAGAAAGCAAAACCAAAGATAGCACGGTAAGGTTTTTTTACAAGCTATCGGTCACCTACCCAGCAGACATATCCCTCCCGAGAACAGAAACAGCCTCTGGCTGAATTAGACCTAACGTGCTTCCACGAATCTAAGCGCCTTTAAAAATCGGTAGCCAAGACATGTGCATTTCATTAAGAATGCAGAAATAGGCTTTTAGTTTCTTTTTATGGGTGTGTTTATTCCTATTTTTCTCCCGTAGCGGTGGGTTATGTTTTTTCCACAGCCCACAGAAAATACACACACACACACACACACGCAGAGGAACACACGCACATGTGCTTGCTTACATGCATGTGCTCCCATGCATGCATGCAGAGAATAAAACATTTATATATATATATAAAAAAAATGCCACTTTCAGTTCAGGTATAAGAGCTCAAATTTGCACCCGTCGGGATACAAAGTCTGAAGTCGCACGCGAGAGCAGGCAAACGCGTCCGGCCCCGGCAGCCGAGGTGGATGCGGGCCCGGGGATGCCAAGGCGGGTTCTCCATCCCGGCGCGAGGGGAGCCCCTCCACCGCGGCCCCGGCAGCCTGGGCCGGCCTCGAACCGCCCGCTGCGCTTCCCCGAGCTCCCCCGGGCACGGGCCCCGCGTCCCGGCACGGAAGGTCTTGCCGTGCCCCGGCGCTGCGGGGATGCTCAAGGGAGGGAGAAGGCTCCCCGATTTTAAACCGGCTCCCTTCGGCCGAGTACCTGCCGCCCTCAGCGCCCTCCTCTCCCCACGGCTGTCCCGTCCGAAGTGTGGGGGAGCAGAGCCCGGGACAGGTCCCCGGCAGGCTCCGGCTGCAGCCCCGGACGAGCCCGGCTCCGCTCGGGGGGGACTCGGGCCCGCCGCCCCCGCCATCCAGCGCGGGCACAAGGACCTGCCGGGGACCCGCAGCAGAACCATGGCGGCACTTTGTCCGCAGCCCGCACGGACTGGCCCAGCCGCTCCTTATCCACCGCAACGTTAGACACAGATATAGATATTAAAAAAAGAGACCGAAATTCCTCGCAGTCCCACCCACCGACTCTCATTTCCCCCACCCCTACCTCCACCCCCTTCCTCACAAGGAAAAGGTCCTGGAGCCAGCCCTAACTGCGGGACTGGGGATCCCTCCAGAGCGAAGGCAGCCGGCCGACAAGGCTCCCCGCGGGCGGCCCGGCCCGGGCTCTCACCGCCGGCTGCGGCTCCGCGGGCTCCCGGCGCTCACACAGGCTGCCCCGACGAGCGCGAAGCGATGCCCATCTCCAGTCTGGCAGGAGGAGGAGTCGGGGTCGGAGTCCCCAGGGGAGATGCCGGCCGCTCCGTGCCCCGCCGCCCTCCCAGGTGCGCCGCCCCCGCTGCAGGCACGCCGGGCCCCGTCCTGGCCGGCGGAGCAGCCCCGCAGTTACCTGGCCGTGCGTCCCTTCCCCGGCGGGCTCCGACCGGCAGCGCCAGCACCGCCACCAGCGCAGCACCTCCTCCTCCTCCTCCTCCTCCGCCGCCACCGCCACCACCACCATCCTCACCGCCACGCACCGCGCGGAGCTGCCGCCCGGGCTGGCTTCTCCCGGTTCCCTCTGCTCGCTCTGCGCTCTGCCCATAGGTAGCTGCTAGCGGGGGCATTGCAAAGAGTATTTGGAAAAAAAAAAAAAAATCTGGATCACTTACAGGTAACTCCCACTGGTAAGGATGAGGAAAATCTGAGGGTAATACACTGAGAGTAACACACTGCGAGATGAAAAAAGGATCATGGCTGAATCCCGTTTACACTCTTGGAGTTCGCTTCCTTGGTTATTCCTTTCTGGCCCCCCCTGGTCGTAATTTCCCACCCTTTTTGGTGTCAGCTGTGGCTTGAATCTGAGTTGGAATCCAGTCCCTTGGGCTTGGGGGGGCTTTGTCTGTTTGTTTGTTTGTTTGTTTGTATTGTTGTGTGTAGTATTCCCCTGGTGCTAATGCTGCTCCCTGTGCAGAGTGTGTGCTGGTGCTGCTGCTCTTGCTGCTGCTGCTGCCTCTGGGCTCCTGCCTGTCATGTCTCAGTGGTTGGAAGTTGTTACAGTGGGTTCTCGTGTTGGAATGAGGATGGTTTAAAGGATTTGGATGGCAGAAAGTGCCTCTCTCTCTCTCTCTCCCCCTCTCACTGTAACTCTCCTGAGACCCGGGGCTGCCATTGGGCAGTCAGTCACTGCAATCCGCCTACTTTTTTCTCTCCCTCTCCCTTTTTTTTTTTTTTTTTTTTTTTTTTTTTTTTAAGGGGAGGATGACAATAGAGAGACACTGATCTAGCCTGGGCTGCAATGAATCCGTGCTCCCTGGCTGAGCTCTCTCCACACGCCTCGCCCCGCAGGCGCTCCTCACCCATTCCATGGAGCATTTTTAACTCTCCCCCACGCTCGGGGGCTGTGGGCTCCCTGCCCCTGCTGTGGCACCCTTGGCTCGCCCTGCGGGAGATCCTGAGCGAGCTGACAGCTCCCTGCTCCGCTCACGGTTAATTGCTTTATTATGGGCAGTTACCCCAGTTCTCCTGAAGGATCCCGCCGTCCGTCCAACCTCGACGGGGGTTTGGCTCTTGTCCCCCGGTGTTGAAAATTCAGCTTCGGTTTCAGGGGGAATTTAAAAAAAAAAAAAAAAAAAAAAGTATATATGTAGTCGTAGCCTGCGCGAGTGAGAAATAAAGACATGCACACTCGCAGCTTCCTGGTGAGGTTGAGTTTCGCATGAGAGCAGGGAAGGGAAAGGACTGGTCTGGAACAGCCGGTGTAAGGGGGCGAGCGGGGGGCGTCTGCCGGCGGCTCCCGGCTCCCCACACCTCGCCGCTCCTTCACAAAGAGCTGCCGGCTCCTCTGTCCCCTCTTCCTCGCTCCTTCCCGAGGAGTTGCCAATCCGCAGAGACGTTTCCCGGCAGGTTAGTTGCCTCTCCCGCGCGTTCCCCCCGAGCCGGGCGGCTCCTGCCCCTCGGCACCGAGATGCTCGACACTTCCCGCTCCGGAGGGCAGGAGCCCTTCGCCCCGTGTAGTCGACAGCCGTTTTTCCTCTTTGACTCCTTGGCCGTCTGTCCTTTTTATCCAAAGGGCACAGTGCAATGGTGCAGTACGTGCGCTGCGGATGCCGGGCTGGGGTTCGGAAACGAACCCCGAAAAGAGAAACAGGCAGACACTTTAATACAAATGCAGCCGAAATGAGCAAGAACCAGACTCCGAAGTCTTTTCGATCTGTAAATGTTCGTCTCAAGTTAATTGCCTAATGACTGAAGGAGATCTCTTGGCTAAGAGCTCTCCCAAACACCCTGGTAACACCTCCTCGAGTTAACCAGTCCCAGCACATGGGCGCAGCTGTCTCCGCGACACAACGAAATATTCCTTCAGACGGAATGGGAATTGCAGAAGTGGTGCAAAACGTTGTATGCCGCCCAATACGCGATAAAAATCTTCTCGGGGTTTGGTTGCTTTAACCATTTCCACCTTTAAGTTCAGCATAGACGCCGTGGCAGTCAACGTCCTTTAGAGAAATACTGATCTCGATTAACAGGAGACAGAAGCTTAAGCCTTTCAAAGACTATTTACATCCCAGAATCCTGTTATTTATAATTACTTAAGATTCTAAAATGGTCGTATTTGTACTTTCATGAGTGTGTGTGCGGGTGCATACATAGCGAGAGACAGAGCGATGTGTATCCCCGGCAGTGCCCGCTCCCCTCTCTGACACGCGGGCTGTGCCTGGGACAGCTGTGCTGAACGTGGAGCAGGAGAATGAGCAGCCACTTTGAACGTTTTATTTCTAGCATTTGTTCCGCTTCGACCATACACTTTAAATGTGCATCGGCTTTTAAAGATGTGTCTAGGGGACAGAAGAAGGGGGGAAATTAATTGTAAAAATGCTGGCTCTGGAAAACTTCGAACTGGTGTTGGCAGAGTTTGACCCAGTCCAGCTGAAACGAAGATGGATTGCCGATTTCCACAGTTTTCGGATGGAAGCTGATTTTATCCACAGCTCAGTTGTGCAGGGGGAGAAAAGTCCTATGAAGAAACCAAATTGTGCCTTTTCTTTTCGGGGAGTTATTTTTTATTCTAAAACTACGGGCCGGTTATTATGTCGAAAAATAATGATGATGATGGAAAGAATAATCTGCTAAATTCCATCCAAATGGTTTCTATAAGTATGTCAGACGGGAGTAGCGAGGAGCACACTTGTTTTGTTGGCTGAAGACGAAAATATTCCCTTCAATAAAATTATGTCATCCTGGAAGAGAAGCATTGTCGGTAAAACCTAATATGAGCACTTCAGCATCTGTCATTCCTTCCGCCACAAACAGGTGCATTTTGGACAAAACTGAAATGGTTGCCGACATCATATTCGGGCAGATGAAACAGAGAATAAACTATTTGGTTGGGGGGTTGTGGATTTTTTTCCCTATTAACTCTCTATTCCCAGCCGCGGTTCCTTTCTTACTCCAAGACTGGGGAGAGTCTGGCAGAAGGGCACGTTGGAAGCCGGGAAGGGCTTGGAAGGTGCGCCTGGCGGGCAAAACGCCCGGGTCCTTTCTGGTCAGAACTGGGTGTTTCTTGTATCCCACCGAGTTACAAGTCCAGTGCCAGGGGGAAGAAGGGAACGAATAGTCCCAAAATGAGCGGGAGTCCGGCCAGCGGGGAGGGCAGGGAAGGCGGCGGCACCACGGCAGGTGCCCGTGGTGGGCCGGGAAATGGGAAGGGGCCAATCCCGCGGGGTCGCTCCCGGGGCCTCGCCGCGGCTCCCGGCGCTCCACGTGCTGCCGCCGTCGAGGCCGAGCCCCGGCCGCTCCTGCCGAGGGCCGGGGGAGCTCCCCGCGGCCGGACAGCCCCGGGGACGCCGAGGGCAGCGGGATTTCGTTGGCCTTTTACTGCGAACGCCGCAAAGACAAGGCGAGCTCCGCTGTAAGGGAGGAGAGAGGTCCCGTTCTTGCCGCAGCGTCGCTGGCAGTGCGAAGGGGGAGCGGAGCGCTCCGGCCGCTCCAGGGTGGGCTGGGTGCCCTTGCCCGCAGCCTTGAGAGCCCCCAGCCCAACTCGGCACCGAGGAGGCGTCCCCGCCCCCCCCACGAAGGGCTGCCGGCACCTTTCGTTGGTGCCTTGGTCAGCGTCAGCTCCCGCCGCCCACGTCCCTCTGACCGCACTGTGACCTCCTTCCCGGAACCGGGTCCTCCCCGCTCCCCTTGGCGCTGTCCGGCTGTCGCCCTTCTCTCCTTCCAGAATAAAGAGGAAAAGGGTAGTGTGTGCCCCCAGCTCCCTAATCCGGGTATTACCGGCAACTCTGTCTTTCCAAAGGTCACATCACTTATCCCAGAGGATCCGCTGTGATTTGTACCTGTGATACTGCTGGGATGTTTAGTTTCTGATGTATTTATTAAATAAACGAGAGCCGAATGCTCTGCGATCTTGGCAGGAAACATTGCTTTTTCAGTCCTGCCGAGGTCAATATTTGATGGGACCTGTTTTCGCGGGGTTACGTGGAGTCAGCAGGGCTGCAGACGCTTTAAACTTCGGTGCCTGGACAGAAACGTTACCGACAGAAATGTTCAAGGGATGCTTCACCTCATGCTTGTTTCTCCAGCGAACTAGAGGATAGGAAATAGAAACGGGAACAAGAGGAATTCCCTGACAGGAAGGACTACCTGAGTGGGACTTTGCCCCCTCCTCCTAACTGGATACAGCGGCTTCTTTATGGGACTCTGCCGTGTCACCCCTCCCCCCATACATAACTTATGTATTGAGTTATTTCCTCTCCCCTCGGTGTCATGTTTGACACCGAAAGTGGAGCTTTTAGCACGTTTTATTAATACATGAACACGTGCTCGGCAGCAAGCAAAATAAAAAAAGCCTGCCAAGCCTTCCCTCCTTGCCGTGGCTGACACGACGGCGCTCTCCTTCCCGCTGAAAACCAATCGAATGTTCTGGAAGACAGAATGCTTTTTATCTGCCTTCATCTTCCCCTTTTCAGTGCAAAGAGCTCACCAGAAAAGGCATCATTACACTCCAAGGATATGGTTTCAACAAAATGGTAGTTCCAGTGGCTGATGAAAGAGGAAATAATTGCACCCCGCATGCCTAGCCTAGACGTAGCCCTGGATTTCAGAGCAAATTTCTCTCCTATTGTTCAGAGAAAGTGAAGTATCCTCATCGCCTTACAGGCATGGTGATGGATCTGATAGGGTTTCTCCAAGGGCTTTTACTGTTCCTGCTGTCCGCTCAGTTTCACTTCCAGGCTCAGTGCAGCAGCATTCCTGTGATTTTTGCTCTGAATCCCCTTCTAAAATAGCCACAATCAATTTCGAAAAGAGATCTGTCTTCCAGACTGTAAAATGTGCCCAATACTCTGTTCCCTTTCACCGCAGCGAAAGTGAATAGTAATATCATTGCTCTTATTTTGCAAAGTGTTTTCTTTAAGCTCGCCTGCAGCCCTGTGAGGAGTGTGCTGCAGAAAGTCCTCCAGCTACTGAAGTAGATGAGGTACGCCGTCGTCGCTTCATTTATGGATACACAGCCTCAGCAAACTCACTTCTTATCTAAACCCCCGGCAATCCGAGCCTGGAGGACGACAGAGTCCATCACTGCCGACAACGGCTACCACAAAGGGCGGCTCAGGCCCCGCAGAGATTCGAGCACAGAAAACATCACCTGTCTCCAGCAGGCAGGATCTGGAGATACCCCCGGGCATGAGCGCCGGCCGAGGCAGAGGCGGACGCGGGATCCCCCGTGGGCAAGGCGGGGGGAACGCGGAGAGCGTCCCCCACGGCCGGTCCGCACCCGCGCATCCTCCGCGGGTCACCCGCGGGGCAGCGCCGCTCCGCCGGCCACCGTGGCGGCACCTGCGGGGCCGGGCCGAGAGGCCTGCCAAAAATACCTAAACAAGCAAACGCGCCGAGGGATGGATGCGAGCCGGCTGCTGCCCGCCGAGCAACCTGCTGGGGACGCTCCGGGCCAGCCACGGGTCCCGCCGAGGCCCCGCAAAATGGACAGCCCTGCTCCTGCTGCCGGGCTGGGGGAGCTCCCGCGGGAGGCACCGAGCCTCCCTGGGCAGCGCCGCTGCCCTTCTCGCCCCCTCCACCTCGGTCCCTCGTTTAACCTTAGTCCTCGGCTCTGGCGAGGGTCTTGCAGATTCCCTCCCACTAGGCCCCTCCTGCCGCTGCCCAGGCTGCTGCCAGTGCACGGGGCTGTCCCATCGTGCCCAGAGCAGAGCCCGCGGCGCCGGCGGGGCCCGGTGGGCAGGGCCGGGCCGCTCCCCGTTCCCGATCCCCGCTGCCCTCCTGCTCCGCCGCGGGACGCGACGGGACGGGGTGCTGAGCCGCGCTGACGGCCGGCCTGCCCGTCCCTCCGGGGAATTGCCCCCGCTCCCCCGCCTCTGGGGGCTGCCCTTTGGCTCCCTCCTCCTCTTCCCCGCATTGATTTCAAGGTGGGAAGAGAGCACTTTTGGATTGCAACTCACCTTATGCATTCTTGATCATTAAAAAAAAAAAAAAATCCCGCAGCTATGCAAAGACAGGATCTTTAAAGAGTTTGTAGTTCGACAGGTAAGGACTCGGCTGGGGCTCAGGAATGTGGAAATTCAACTCAAGTCAGCCTACTGCGACGAGCAATATTAATAAGGGCATACAGGCACCGGGGGGAGAGGCAGAGGGAGAGAGGGTGAAACTTGGCAACTGAAATAACCGCGTGCTCTCGATCGCGGTGATCAAACACTGAGGAGCAAACAGCGGGCTCCCCGGGAGCCCCCGCCGCCCCCGGGGCCCCGGGCCGAGCCCTCCGGCCGAGCCCGCCTGGCTTCCCGGGCGCTCCGGCGCGGAGGTAGCCAGACCAGTTGTCAAGTTAATTTCAACACGTCCGTATGATGGATAGAAACGCAAATTGTGTCTAGGCCTGCATAAACCAAAACCCTGAGCGCAGGTTCAGAGCAGGGATTCCCCTCCTCCCGCCCCTTTCGCCTCTGTAATACCTCAGCTCTGCTCTATTGTCCCAGCAGCAGAGCCTGAGTTAACTCTGTCAGGCTGCCTTTTCTTTTTTTTTTTTTTTTTTTTTTCCCTCTGAGGGTACTGTACGCCAGAGATAATATTTAAGTTCGCTTAAGCAGTACAAAATAAAAGGATCCGTCATCACCCGCGAGCGGCTCCCTGCAGGCTCGGCACTGCCGGAGCGCTCCTGCGCCGCCGGGCATCGCCTGCCGCGTTGCCAGGACCGGGGACACCCACGGCCGTGCTCCGGGGGGCTGCCTGGACACCCGGGGGGCGGAGAGAGAAATATTCACCTCCTTTCTTTTCCTTTTTTTTTTTTTTTTTTTCCCTTTGCGATATTTTGCTCACGACTTCGCACTAACGTTACCCAAAAAGCCAAGGAGATTTGTCGTGCACAAGGACTTACCCTAATTTGACATAGATGACTCCAAAGCATAGAAACACGTAGAAAATCCACTTCCGAAAGTTTCTGTGCATGATCTAGAAAATGGACTGAGCCATAAAAATTGCACAAAAAGCCGAACTGATCTTGTCGATTAAATCCCAGTCAAGAACATTGCTGAAGCTACCCAGGAGCAAAGCCGGCCGAGCTGTAAAAAATCAACTCCGCGCAGATAGGCAGCTCTTCCCAGAGCCATGGTGACCGAAACCGGCTCCGATATTAAAGCTAAAGAGGAAGAAAAAATAGAAAAGGCTGCTCAAAACGGTAAAACAAAAACCCAAGACAGACAGTCAGAGGGAGAGAATGAGCAAGCACTGATCTTGATCAACTGCCTCATAGAGCCCTGAAGTTCAATCTGTTTTTACTTGTTCTGACTTCCCCAGGTAACACTACGTATCTTGCAATCTATGGCTCCAGGTAGGAGGATCTCTCCTCTCTCTCTCTCTCTCTCTCTCTCTCTCTCTCTCTCTCTCTCTCTCTCTCTCTCTCTCCCTCCCGCTCTTCCCCCCACCTCGTATGTGTCAGGATCTAATACATATCTTATCTGTCTTTGTGCGTGTGCGAGTTGTGCGTGTGTTTGTGTTTCAAAAGGCATGTCCTTAAGCAGGACTTGTTAGGGAAAACACATGAAACGTATCCAATAAGGGAAATAAAGGAGTCGTCCTCTCAAACCGAAGCATTTTTTCATTTCCTCTAGTATAGTAACGCGGCTGGATTTGCAATGCATGGACTTCGCAAAAGAGACTTTATCTCCCCCCCCCCCCTTCTAGTCAAACAGAGACAGGCGTTAATCCCCGCTTGCTTACAGCTCTGTATCCTAAAAGGCAACGGGTGTGCCTGTGTCCAGACTATTTCTTTTCGACCATCCGACTCTGCTGGACACAAATGCTTGTCACTAAATTTGATTTCTTTTTGCCGCAGTAAGAAAACATTCCTCCTCCTTTAAGAAACATATACACTTGGCTTTTAACACGAGTTTAGGATATTCAGTTTGCTGCTCCTAGGGAGATTAATCGGTGAGACAAAACCTCACTTTGTGTTCAGACACTAAGTGAAGCAAGGCTTCCTTTTCTTTATTTTTTTTTCCCCCTTACTTTTCTTTCTCTCTGTCTTGTCTTTCTTTCTTTCATTCTTCCTCACTGATTTCTGAGCCGCTTAGTTTATTCCCGCATTCTGTGGAATTATGAGTTCCAGTCTACTTACTACACAGTGTGTGCCTGTCCGGAGGCACAGATCTGCATGCATATGCACGCTTAAATAGCACTCCGGTACAAGTCTGTGGGCTGTGGGGAGTTGGTTCCACAGAGACGGATAAACCCGTGCACCTCTGCCCTCTCCTACACACACATTCATATACGTGTAGCAACAGTCAGCGCAGATGGCTCTAGGCATCTCTCAAAGAGAATCGGCTAAACACACACCAGGAAAGGCTGAAAGGAAAGCAGGCAGTGACAAGCCAGCAAAGAGGCTGAACGCAGAACTTCATCGTAAAGTTTCTATCCTGAAGGAGAAAACAAAGGATTTTTTAAAGGCCAACCAGCCTGCCGTGGTTGAAGAGGTGCCATGGAGAATCGCAGGTCACTTTTAGATGTCTCCCACAGCCAAGGCTGCCCGCACCTTGCTATCACCCACCCAGCTCCCAAAAACAGGGTCCTCTCCAGGCATCGCGCGGAGACCCCTGGGAAGGGAAGCGGGACGGAGACCAGCCGTGCTGGGGAAGGAGGACTCACGCCGAGTGCCTCGGCAGGGACGAAGGCGGCCGAGCCTGCCCACCCTACCGCCGACTCCGCTCCCTCTGCCTGAGGATCGGTTTGGCTCTGCCTTTCCCTCCGCATTCCTCAGTTTTATTCTTTAATAATCAACGCTCCGGCTCTCGCAAGCAGCCAGCTCTCCTCCAGGCCGCTTGCCTACACTGCCCTCAATACTCAGCTATGGACAATTTCTTTTTAAAAAACGCCGAACTTCCCTTTACACTCATAACTTTTTCTTGTTCTCCATCCCCACAGCTTTTCAAGGACTTTTTTAATAAGATGAGGCCATGTTTTACGGAATCACAAGAATCTCAGGCCCATGGTATGATTATTGGGGCTGTCCTGTGCAGGACCAGGAATTGGACTTTGATGATCCGTGTTTGTCCCTTCCAAATTCGAATATCCAGTGATTCCATGGTTTTGCAGAACCACGTCTCCAAGAGCTTCGTAACTTTACCCGCAGCGGCCTCACAAACTCTTCGACCAACATCCAGAGGGCATTTAAGATGCAGCCTCACCACCTCCCGTCGTCCCCTCCTCCGCTCTTTTTCCCTGTGCTTGAAGCCTTTTGGAGGCCAAGTGTCGTGCGTCCCCCCCCCCCGGGAGCCGCGGGGGTGAGGCGGGGGAGGCGCGGGGAGCGCAAAGAGCTTCCCTGCAGCCGGGAGGGAGGGGGCGAGCGGCAGGGCCGGGCGGCGGCTGCGGGGATATGCCCCGGGGTTGTGCCTGGGGCTGTGTCCCGGGGATGTGCCGGGGCTGTGTCCCGTGGATGTGCCCCGGGAATGTGCCCGAGGATGTGCCGGGGATGTGTCCCGAGGATGTGCCCCGGGGCTGTGCCCGAGGACGTGTCCCGGCCCCGCGGAGGCGGCGCGGCCCCGGCGCCGGGCGGGGAGCGGGTGCGGGCGGCGCGGGCCGGTCCCACGGCGTCACAGCGACACCCGGTGGCACGGCCGGGCAGGGCGGGGGCACCGCGGGGACTAGGGGGGTCCCGGTGCCGCCGGGCTGGCACTCGCTCGGCAGCCCCGGCCGGAACCGGAACGTGCGGGGCGGTCTCGCTGAGCCTCGGGCCGTGGGAACGCAGCCCCCCGTACTGCCCCGGCGCTGCCTCCCTCTCCCTTGCCTCCCGGGCGCGGGTCTGGAGCCGTCATGGGGGGCCAGGCTGCCTCCCCCGTGCGAAGCCGTGTGAAGGAACCGGGCATTCACCGGGCAGGGGGAGCAGGAGGAGTGAGGAGCTCAGCATCACGACTGTTCGTTGATACGGCTCTTCTCTGCAAACCTCTGGCAGTTGTTCGCCTGTTTTCTCCCGTACCCCCTGGAAGGGGGGCTGCAGCTCAGATTGCCACCGTCTCCTCAGTGACTGCATAGTCGCCATCAGCCTGGCGCGTCCCGTTTGTTTCTGCAAACTAGTGAGTATTCCCCATGTTTTCACGCAAACCCAAGAATTTTCAACAAGAGAAACTAAAGTAGATTGTGCTTAAAGTGTCTTGGAGACAGATGGCAAAATCTTTCTGTATTTTTGGACCTTAGTCCACTGTCATCTTCAGTTATTGATTTGAGGATGATGGACTGAGGGATGTGATAGCTTTTCTTCCCTTCAAATGTCTTCCCTTCAAATATAGTTTAACTACTCCTGAAAGCTTAAACTGAGGATAAGAAGATTTCATGAAGCTTAATAACTCTGCATCTTAAGAAAAAACCCCCACAAACCTGTAGAATATCAAAATGGGTAATTCTCACATTGTCATTCAGAAATTCACATAGTTACTAGATAGCCAAATATATAAAGCTTGTTGAATTACTTTAAACAAATAGCACCTTAGCAATGCTAACAATCTTCCTGGACTTAAGGTAATAATCATAAATTAAAAAGCAATGGTAGATATGGGGTTGAAACCATTTGCTGAATACTCTTCTAGGGCACAATTATTATTTATTACTCATCCAGAATAATTGGCATGGCAGGTGATACAGTCGATTGAAAACACAGTAATTCATTTTCACACCCACTGACCTTCTGCTACCAAAGCTTACGTTCACTCTTCCAAAACCTGCAGAAGGAAAGGCCATCTATGCTGCCTGGTCCTCTCACCTCTCCACAGCCTTTTGATAAAGTGGCTCCTGTGGTAAAATATTTCAAAGTCCTGTTGGGCTTCAGCTTTCACAATCCATCACAAATGTATTTACCCCCACTCCAACTGCTGCTCGTAGGGAGGAGAATCCCAGTGGCCTCTAGAAAGTGGGCAGGCTGTGACTCTGCCAGCTTAGCCAGCAGGAGGTGACTCCTGGATGTGTGGGTGCTCAAGGGCAGCTGACATCCTGTCAGTCTCTCAAAAAATGAAGATGACAGGAACGAGATTCACTGGCCAAGGAGTAGGTCTCATTTATTGCAGGCTTTGCCACAAGGGACACTGTGCTGTGTCTGACCTGGGGTTTGTAGGGGTTCCTCTGCCCGAGCAGGAGGAGCAACCCCCACAGTATAAGAACAGCTTGCAGCCCACACAGCTCTGCAAGAGGAAGGTGAGTGAGCAGTGCCAAGGGGAAAGGAAATTTAAACTGCTGGTCAGAGCTCATATCATCTTCCCCAGAGGTTATTTCCAAGCATAGTGTTCAAAATCAGAGCAAATCCCATGAAATTTCTGGGGAATGCAGACGAGAGAAAATTCCTCTGTAACAGGTCACTTTACATGCCCTTCTTTCTGTAATGCTCAGATCAGCCATAGGTAACTAGTGGGCCAGGAGCTGGACTTGGATGATCCTTTTTGGTCCCTTCCAATTCAGGATATTCTGTGGTTCTATGTGTGCTTGTTACAGGTCCCAAAGGCTAAACTACAAGACAAATCCAGCTGCAGTTATCTGGCCAGCCACTCTCTGGCACTGTTGCTCCACGCAGTTGTAGAGGAAGGCCCCATCTAACACTGAGAAAATACATGTGTGAGAACGTTCCTTAGACGAATCATCCAGAGCATATGAGGCTGAAAAAGAAAGAGAGGAAAAGAACTAAAATAAGGTGCTTACAAAAATAGGTATCTTGCATCTGATCAGTATCTTACAGACAAATTACACGTGTTCTTTACAACTGTGTATGTTAAGTATATGCACTTACTCTAATAGTTAGTATTTAAGTTACCAGGCATTCACATGTGAAGTCTTTCCCTAAATCACCCTCTTTTATTTACCCACATGCTTCCTAGGCCTAAGATATCCTTCTTTCTGAGAGACTACCAAACCCACCCTCTGATGCTGATTCTGTGACTCATCAGTTAAAAAGGAACACAACTCAGCAATATCTTATGGTTGCAAAAAGAGTCAAATACTCTGAATACAGACATGTTGTATGTACTTGTTGTATGTGAGTGAATCCTTCTTGTCTCTGCAGCAGGAAGGAGTCCAGACTGATGGATAAACTTGTCTTCCAGGCAGCGTACTTCAAGAAGGATAGAGATCAACTGGACATGACCCAGAGCTGAACAATAGGAATATGATGCCACAGAAGAACAGAAAACATGATCCATGGAGAAAGGTTTGTTGCTTTCCTTTAAAGAAACATGGGCTGAGCAGAGAAAGGATAATAGTCTTCAAATGTGCAAAAACACATCAGAAAGACAGCAAAGCAAGGAATTGTTTTACCCAGAGCAGGGGATAAATGGACTGCATCTTGGTAGCATGTAGACAAAATTAGTTTAAGAATTAGGGAAATCTTGCCAAGATTTAAGATGAGATTAAGTAATCATCTACAGAATGATTTCTTTTGGACATGAGGCTTACAGTTCTGTGACCCTGCTTTCAACCATTGTGCTGTGAAAATTCTTTTCGCCTTCATAAAATATGGTGAGATATAAAATAAACTTCCTCTGAAAGGGTTTCAGAAAGCATCTAGCTTGACCAAAAGAGGAGGAGTTTGCATCCAGGAGTTCAGAGGAATACCCAAAGCTGTTGTCTGTAGGCTGTATTTAATGAAACAAGTCCTTTCAGCCTCATCTTACAGTAACAAATGCTCTCCCTGGCCCTCACAAATGAAACGAGTCTGCATATTTCTAAGTAGGTCAGCAATTCAGGAACTTAAAGTTTGAGACTGCAGGTTTTGAAATTCCATGGAAAACTTTCACTCCATGCTTCAGGTAATGCAGAGAGACAACCTCATTGAAGCCAAGTTTCTGCCTTGCTTGAGGCAACCCTACTAAAGAAGTCCAAATGAATGCAAACTAGATATTGAGTTTAGCAAGATTTATACTGGAAACAAGATAGAATAAATTTAGTCTAGTAATTTAATCTGTAATCAGCAAGTCTCTAGGTCCTACAACTACCTATGGCGCAAGAAAGGAAAATCAGGACTCAGAAGTAGTTTTTGTTGTGATTTATATGCTCATTCCTGTTTTCTAATTATATTCTCAGACATGCCTATGTGGGAAAACATTTTTTTAGTTATTTGTGTTTTCAAATGATGACTACAAAAGATACCATGGTGGGTTTAGTTTACACTTAACCTTTAAAATAATCTTTTAAAAAGCTAAGGGACTGAGTAGTTTTATGTGATACATTAATTTTGTTTTGCCTGCCTATTGTGTGCTGCAGTTTTTATAACATTACGAGGGAAGCTGCACATTTTTAAGCAGTCTTTTCTTACTAACTGCTCTTCTCTATTGTAACCTTATTCCATCTGATGCAAAATGCTCTTTGGCTTCTGTGAACTCCATGGCTGGAGACACAACTCAGAAATTACTGTTTGCATCACAGGGACAAACAAACCTTGAAACCTCTCTAAGGTGAGCAACACATTTGCCTTGGTTCAGATAGTGAGACACACAGAGCACAGGGCACCAGGGCAGCATCCCAGTGCGGGTACGGCCAGAGTGGCCACAGTGCCACATTTGGGGATGAGACTGTCAATAGGGAGCATGGCACTCTGTCAGTTCTTCTGTCAAGGGAAGATTGCTTCCTTGCAGAATCATGAGAGAAACCTTCCTACCTTTTCGTTGCCAAACAGAAAACTCTAGCAGGCCCTGCTGTACGTTTTCCACCACTGCAGCTGTGCCCTGATTTCAGATGTTGGCTCCAGCCCTATCATTTGTGGTGAGATTGTGAGTCGAGGGTTGCAGGGTCCTTTCATCTGTCAGTATGTCACTGATGATACAGCTTAATCGTGTGAATCTTCTTTAGCACTTCAACTTATTGCTTTTAAAAGTATCATAATCATAATCTCTCATACAAACCCTTAAATGTGTTTTTGTCATCAGAAGAACACACGCCTCTGGGACTGCTCTGGGACCAGAACAGCATCACTACAAAAATCTTGTAACTTCGTTAATTGCAAGTACAAAAATCTTGTCATTTCACTAATTGCAAAAATCCAACCAACAACTCTCCTCCTTTTTCTTTCTTATTTCTAAACTACATTTCCTAGAAATCTCAGGCTTAGAGTCAAAGTGCACATCTGTGTCTTGCTCTCTGGTTCAGTCTCCTATTAGAGAAACATACTGAAAAGCAAACAGTAAGTGCAGGAAACCATTTAATATCATTTTTTTTCCCTCTCATGTCAAGAAAATATTCAACTGATTTCAGCAACCAGTAAGGAGCTCCACAAGAGCAGACCTAGGTTTGGGTCATATTCAGTATCTTGTAATTGAGCTTTTAAACACTCATTTTTCACCTAAGAATAACTCGTTAAAGGACTTAATAACCATCTCTTCATAAAAATACAGGACTCTATAGGCTTTATTAATATTGAAATTATTATTAATTTGTTTTATTGTGTACTGCTTACTATTTTGAGATAAATATGTGCGAATGCGAACCCTCCTGTGTAGAATAAAAATATCATCAATTTTGTGTATGTTGTTTTTAAGAATTACTCTGATGATTTGTATTTATATATGTTTGACAGTACATCATTGCCAGATTTCAAAAGCTAATCAGATGCCTTCCAGTGCTTGATGTTTTTAAATAACAAATGAGAACCACTGGATTATTCTTTTCCATACACATAAGATACCAAGAAAAACTCCTAAATGTGATTTTTTTTCCCTCCTCGCAGAAACTAAGGCATTCTAAGAAAAGGAAGCACATCTAGAATTGCTATTTTAAAATTTATCCTGATTTCTAAAGTAAATCTAAGAATAGGAGTGTGGGGAGAGAGAGCCCAGGCATTACGTTTGAAAGCACAGTATTGATGATATTAATGTTGGCAAGCTAAACATGAGGACATTGGTTTGTTTAGCTCCCCGTCTTTTCCAGGAGCCATCTACTAAAGGACCATCTACTGCTTTTACCTTGGAGGGTCTGCAGTTCAGTTAAAGCTATGTCAGTGCTGAGATAAATGTCTATTTATTAGGCTTTGGAGTTTGATATATTTCTGGTGTCTTAAATTGAAAATAGATGTCCAATAAAGAGGTTTTCAGGTGGAGGTTATGCCTATTGAGTAGTTTGATAAGACTGTATCCAACTAAGGTTACCCTTCATTCACCCTTCATCTGTTTTCCAGAATATTTGTCTCTTTTACATGGATACTTTAATCTTTGCCTTTGTGTATCAGGGTTTGACTAATCTCACTGTGTTGTCACACTGCAGCTCTATGAAACAGCAGCACTGGCTATATTAACTTATATATGTATGTATCTACAATGGCCAGACTTTGGAAATTATCTACAAAGGTCTGCCACTCTTCCCTTTTCAGTTTTCAACAACTCGTCAAATAATGTTGTTTGCATCATGTCCTCCCCCAGGTCACTGACTTAAAATGGTCCTTATCTACAAATCTTTCCTACATTTTCTTTCTATTACAGTAAGCCCCTCTTTCATCAGTATTATCAGCAAAAGCTGCAGGATATTTTGTCTGGCTGCAATTCAGCTTCATGTGGGGGTGCTCACATGCACCCTGCGGTATTTTGTGCAGTTACGAGCAATTTATGTGATGTATAAAAGTGCATACTTTACTTTACAGATTTAACTCTTTGCTTGAATCCAGTGTCTGATTAAACTCAGTACAAGATGTCTGTGGAGACCAGAGTTTAAATCTTAAGTGGTGTTGACTGCCTCTACTCTGTCATCACCTCCGAAGGTTCTCGGCGGTGTTTGGGATGCAGCCCTAACATGTCTTACATGCACTACAAAAGACCTTAAAAAATTCTTTCCAAACCAAGCACAGGCTTTCTGAGCAAGGGCCCCAAAGGGCAGGAGCCTCCCCCTTAAGCCCTTCTGGCATCTGCACTCTGCTCTGGGGCTTGGGGTAGGTGACCTTCAAAGGTCCCTTCCAACCCTTCCAACCCAAACCATTCTGCAATTCTATGTAGATTCTAGAATGAAACAAAAGAGAAGCTCTTTGGTAAAATGAATCATTGTGTTAAAAGCATACAGGAAATACTGCATTTATTCATCTCTGAGAAATTGTTGTAAGTCAACAACTATATTTTGAAAATAAAAATGAAAGCTGGGTTCAGGAGTGTGATCCTACAGGAACTGTAAGCTGGGTTCGAGTGTAATCCTACAGGAACTGTAGGATTTCTGGAACAAGACCCTGTTTCTGTCACAATTTCCAAGCTCCCTTTTTGAAATGAGAATGTTACCTCTCCTTCAGACTGGCTTTTCTAATGGTCTTCCTTGTAGATGCTGACAGAGCAACTAACTTCAACTCAGTCGTTTTAAGTATAATACATTGTTAGTCTGTCAAGGCATCCTGCTGATAATGTAATAAAATAATACAACCACAGAAATCAAATGTGCTTTAAGTTTTGGTAAGCCCTGAAGTGGTCCAGTAGTTGAACCAGATGACTGTTGTAGGTCCAACTGAAAATATTCTATTCTATTCTATTCTATTCTATGCTATGCTATGCTATGCTATGCTATGCTATTGCCATTGCTATTGCTATTTCATGAAAACAGCTTGCATGAAAAAATACTTTTCCAGTTACTTAGAAAAAATGGAAGACTAGGTTGAGTCAGACTCAACTAGGATGGTTGCACTACTGGGATGCAGATGTATCTAAAAGGAAACAATTCCAGATGACAAAAGCATACTGTTGGTGCAGGAAAAATTTCCACACTTCTGCCAAAAGACCCACTGTGTTTGTTGCACTAAGCACAAAATATTAAAAAATGTACATATGAACGTGCTTTCTTAGACCTTAATACCTATACAGAGAACCTCTTGCTTTACTCAGGACTCAACTCAAAATCACTGCTTTAACAGCAAACCATTATTCAGAGGTAAGAGCATGAAAATGGATACACAGTGTCAAAACACTCTGAGGTTTATGCAACATTCTGGGTTTTGGTGGTGAGTTGGTTTCATTTTTTTTTTAATTTGAGAATGATTCAATAAATAAAACTTCACACATAGTGAGAATTCTCATGGCATAAGAGACAAATCTCCAGCTATATAAACCTCAAGGAGCTCACTTATATTTCTTTTGATAGGTCTACAACTTTCCATTTCTCTTCTTCCAGTTATTATTGTTTTACCACTCTCTATGTTCTACATATGGGTTTACAGGATGCTACTGACCACACAAACCAAATTTAATATCTTCTCTTTGGTTTCCTACTAAACCACAAGGCCATCTATCCTATTTTTTGTCTAATTTTTTGTGTCTTCAATTCTTTTTCTTTTATGTAATTTTTGATCTCATAAGAACAAGCCCATCTCCTTCTGTGGTGATGCATTAATGCAACTGAAACTCAGATTTACCTCTTAGAAACTGAAACTCAGTTTCCTCTGTTGACACCAATTACACCTTTTCCAAAGACTTCCTCATTCTCCCACTATTGTTTTATGTTTCAGCAGAATATTACTCTAATCCAATCATTTTTCAACCAATCTAATACAGCCCCAAAGTGGATTAGGCCCTGGTAGACTGCATATCCATCAGTTGATAGCTATAAAATCCTTGGATAATTAAATCCAGAGAGAGATCCAGAAAGGAAAGGGAAAATTCATTTGTCTCCTACTTCTCCATCTGTTGCTGTTCATTCCACACAATTGAGGATCAGCTCCTTGGCCTTTCTTCTCCCATCCACCCAAAGCTGGAAGTGGCTTTCACCCCTGGGGCAGCAGAAACAGTGCTTTGAGAAACTGAAGGTGACAAAAGGGCAAGGAGGAGGTGTCTGATCCCCCTGCCCCTCCATTCCCTAGCCAGGGAGCTTCTCCAGAAGCTGCACCAACACTTCAGTACCTACAGAGGGCTTTGCATTACTATTTCTATTCTTTGAGAAGGCTATTTACTATTTGTAAGTAGTAAATTTATATTTGTTATGAATGTTTTCTATAGCACTTTTGATATGATTAATTTCATTATGATATTCATCTAACCAAATGTGACTAGTTACAAAGCGTGCAGACCTTTTCCCTGCTGTACCAGCATCCCCCACACTGCAAATGCTTCTGACATTGTCAGAGCCACCACACTGCAAATGCTGCTCAACCACCACTCGTCAGAGAGTTGAAGAAGTAAAATAAAAAAATGGAAGTTAGAGGTCCATTTCTTCTTTTGGCTATCTGCCAGCAGAATAGTTGGTACTAATTAGTGTTTGGGTTTTTCTTTTCCTGCTTTAGGGAGTGCCTATCGAAGGATATTTGAGGAAACTGCTTTGGTAGGGTGAAGCTAAAAGGTTTTATTAGTTGCTCTGTGTGCATGAGACAGATACTGTACCACATTTTTGTCAGTCTGAAATAAAATACCCTTTTTAATGTTGTGGACTCCCCCTTGCTTGTCCAGAGGGCACCTCAAAGGATTACAGTGGAATAGGAATTCTGGAGGAAAAAGAAGGAGTCTTGAGGCCCACAAAGGACGTGGGCTGCCCATTCTACAGATCTCTAAACCTAATTTTCTTCTCCTTGGACAATCAATAACAGTTAGGGAGACCTCATTGTGATCTTCAACATCCTTACAAGGGTCAGTGAAGGGGCAGAACCGATCTCTGCTCTGTGTGACCAGTGAGAGGACCTGAGGGAATGGTGGAGCTCTGTCAGAGCAGGGTTAGGCTGGATATTGGGACAAGGTTCTTCCCCTAGAGGATGGTTGGCACTGAACAGGCTCCCCAGGGCAGTAGGCAGAGCCCCAAGTCTGCCAAAGCTCCAGGAGCATTTGGACAATGCTCTGAGGGACAGGGTGGGATTGTTGGGGTATCTGTGCAGGGCCAGAAGTTGGGCCTGGATGATCCTTGCGGGTCCCTTCCCACTCAGGACATTCTGTGATTCTGTGAAAAGGAAAGGGATGATGAGGACTCAGTCCTGGGGAAGGACACCTTGCTCTCTTGCAGGACAGCGAGCTGTATGCCATGGATTGCATTTGTCACCTTACACAAGGTATGAATTCATCTATACCCCTTTTACTTCCATGAAATCCCAAGCTACTGCCATTCCTTAAAGGAGTATTTCAGTGCACAAATACAGTGTCAGCAACATAGTACATAGTATCGGCCCATCTTTGCTTTTTAAAAATAAACTTAGAATAAAACCTTGATTACCTGCATAATTAGTCCCCATTCACAGGAACTTGCATGCCTGAATAATTAAAGAATTAGATTCTAAAAATGAAAAGGAAGCAAAGCCTGCATTTTTGTACTTGAAAAGCTTCAGCAGCAATCATGATAGTTCACAGCACATAAATAATTCAAAGTGAGCTTCCTCGTCTTTTTTTTTCCTCGCAGAAATCCTCTTAATGCTTCCTAATTAAATGAAAATATTTTATAAGCCATCACTTTGTGACATCACAAGAATATTTTAAACTCTAGATTAGACAAGCTGGATTTGCATTTTCAGTATTTGCAATCTGATATTTGGAGTCATTTAATGGAACCACAAACCACCACGAAGGGGTGATAAAACAGGCACGTGCTTTTGAAATAAAAAGAATAGGGGAAAAAATTTTGTGTCGGGTGCCGGTCATCTGAGTTTAACTCAGCATTCAATTTCACTTCACAACTCAGCACTTTATGCCTTAAACCGCTGGGGCCATAATTTAAAGAAAAAAAATAATTAAAAAAACCCTGACAAAATCCTGACGCAAATGATGCGCAGGTGTGCGGGTAGGGGTAGACACTGTAGGGTGCCAAAGGTGACTTTTCGCCCACAATTTAACCTTTTTTACTACCATGGCGCCGTGAGGGCCGGGAAGGGCAGGCGGCAGGGGGCGCGCTGCCCCCGCCGCGCCGGGCTGGCCGAGGGGAACGTTCTCGAAAGGCCCGGGGCGGAGCCGTGAGGGCTCCGTCCCAGACGGGCTCAAGAGTATCGTCCTCTCGGTGAGCGGAGCCTCGGGTGGCGTGTGGCTGCCGTGTCCCGAATGAGCGCAGACGGGTGGGGGGAGCTCGATCGCTCCTGCCTTGGCCCAGAGCCCTGCCGCCGCTTGGGCAAGGAGCCGCCCGGCCGTGCAGACGCTCGGCGCTGCGCTCCCGCCCGCCTCCATTTTCTGCGGGCTCCCCCCGCGGGCCGAGCGGGCTGTGCCGGCCGAGGGGCCGCGGGACCCGGGCTGGCGAGGCGCCGAGAGGGGAAGGACCCGGCGGCACACAGGCATATCTTCATCTCGGGCCCCGCTCTGCCGGCAGGGACAGGCGTGTTCGCTCGGAGGGCGTCGCCTGGAAACACAGGCGGGAAGGAGTCGCGGCTCTCCTCCCTTACTATTTATTGTGACATATTTTGTTAGCTTTTGGGCTCTGGAAGCAGTACTGTGCGTGCCCCTCTGCCAGCGCCCGGATTGACGCTCGTACCGCGTGGGTGCGCTCCGAGCCCGGCCTGTCCGTGCCGTGCCCGCGCGGCGGCGCTGGGTAAGATGGCGAGGCCGCTGCGAACTGGGCGTGCAGGGACCCGTGCAGGGACCTTCGCCGGCCCTCCCTTCGGGCACTGCCCGAATCCCAGCAAAAACGCCCCCAAACGCCAGCACCTACGGCGCCCGCTCTGCCCTCTCCCTCCCGAAGAACCGAGCACTGGCCCCCCGGAGGGTATTTCAAAGACAAGGTTGCTGAAATAATCCTGATCCTTTAAAAACAGCATCACCGGTTGTTTAAAAATACATGCATTGCCCCCGTGTCACGATTTTTAAATGAGCGTTTATGGCTATTTCTCCAGGAGTCTGCACTTTTTATTTTAAAATATCACTAATTTAAAAATAATAATCAGAAACACATGCGTTTCCCCCGTGTCACGATTTTTACATGAAAGCCTATGGCTACTCCTCCTGAACTCTGCATATTCTATTTTAAAATATTACTATTTACTACTAATAATAACAGACACGTTCATTGCCCTCGTGTCACAATTTTTACACGAGAGCCTATTGCTACTCCTCCTAAACTGCATTTTTTTTTTTTTTAGTGTTCGTGAAGAGGCCGGTCGGTCCTGGGACTGAGAACTTTCCCCGGGTGCGACGGTGGATTTAATTCCAGCAGCCAGCCCCGCGGCCGGGGCAGAGGGATATCCGGGGATGTACCACAGTAAAACAGTCCCGAGGTAGGAGTGGCACAGTCATATTTTATCACTGCGGTATGTCACCGTGCTCAGTATCACCTGGGGATCGTTCTGGTTATTCCGTTTTGCTGAGCACTGTCTAAAGCAGAAAAAAAGACAGAGCCCGGTGAGAAAAGCTGCTCCTGTTGCTGACTTTGCATTCCCTCGAGTCCAATTTGTTCCCTATATATTGAAAGACGCAGAGTTGTTTTTTTAAATAGATATAAAAATATAAATACATATATTTTATATTATATTTTTATGTATAAAATCACTGTCAATCAGAATATCTCAATTCCGGGTTTACCCTTTATTAAACTGCTTTGGGAGATTCTGCGTGGCCTAGTGCAGAGGGACGGGGTTGCTGCTTCGCGCAGAAAAGAGAAGAAACATTACGGGGTGGGGGGGGGAGAGAACCCACAAAAAGAGGTTTCTTCCGTTCTTTCCATGGTGGGAAACCCGAGCAGCAGCCGCGCTGCCGGGAGCCGGCAGTGCTGTGCCGTCTGCCCTGCTCTGGGAGATTTGCTGTTGTTGTTGCATTTTTATTTTCTTTCTTTGCTTTACTGAGCTCTCCACAATGTTCCGGGGTTAGGTAATTCTTTAATTCTTGCCGTTGCTAATTCAAGATGCGGGCCCGATGCCGCAGCCCTGCCCGGGTCGCTGTTTGTGCCGTGGGCTCCGTGTGGGTCACACTCGGCACGGCTGAGTCCTGGGCACGGGGGGGACTTTTTCCTTGGCCCGCCTCGAAGCAAACATGCGATGGGTTGGATAAAAATGCCTGGTGGGTGTCGGGGCCAGCTCGGCTCCCCCCGTGGTTTGGCGTACCGGGTGCCCCGGGGCCGGGGTCGGGCCTTGCTTCCCGAGGGTCCTGCTCCGGAGCGCGGCTGTCGCTGCGCGCACATCCCCTTGAAGCATTTTGAGGTTAGGGGAGCCTTTTTTTTTTTTTTTTTCTTTTCCCGTTTTGGCTGTAACTTTCGCGCACTGTTCCTGCAGTGCTCACATCTGTTTATGTCATCCTTGGAGCGCGGTGCAGTGAATTTGGGATTGAGGCGAAGTCGTAGAACTTATTGCTTGTTAATGTGGGTGCTTAAAGTGCGGCTATTTAAATCCGCAGTTAGGCCTTTCTTGAAAGGTGGCCTGTTTTCTCCTAAGGCTTCAGCACCCAGCCCCTTCCAGGGAGATCCACGGAAATAGTGAGTGCTTAGCAGGTTGGGAAGGGAATAGCCAGTGCTTAGCAGGTTGGGAAAATACTTGTCTTTGTATTAAAAATGAAACTAGGAGCCTTAGTGGGTTGCTCGTCTTGCAATAAGCGGGACTAATTCTGTGTTTTTCTCTTTGAGAGCCCTCTCACTTTCTCTAATAGTGTATATTATGTGGAGAGCGACTGGAAATTGCAAAGAACTTTCAAATAAATAAAAACTTTGACGGAGAACCGGTGATTAAATAACACTGGTCGTTAGAACAGTTAGTGGGACGTTAATAAAATAGTTTATTTGAAACGTGAATGAAAGCAGGATAATTCAGTGTAAGCCCAGAGAGATTTGGGAGCGTCTCGGTGCCGCTGCGGCCGGAGCAGCCCTGCCCAGGGACGGCACGGCCTCAGGGGAGATGCGGCATCGTCCACTTGTCCCGCAGGGCCGAGGAAAGGAAAATACACCTGGATCCTGACAGGGGACACCCCGCAGGGATCCGCGTAGGGCCTCACTCGCTTCCCACCTACGTCAATAGAAGTTTTGTCTTCCAGTTCATTAAAGAAATACAGTCAGGCCCTCCTCGTCGCCTCCTTAGGGGTTTGGGTTTTTTTCTTCTTGAAAGCCTTATTAATGGATTCATGTAGTAAACATGGGTATAAAGTAGGCAATGAAAAAAAAACCAAACAAACAAAAAATCAAACAAAAAACCAAAAAACCAAAAACAAACAAAAACAAACAAAAACAAAAACCCCAAAAAAACCAGTGAAAGCACGAAATAAAATAGAATAAAATAAAACAGAATAAATAACATAGAATAAAGTAAGATGAATAAAATAACATAAAATAAAACAAAAATAGACCAACCACAAACCCTACACCTCCTAAACTTTGTATTTTTTACTGCCTGTGAATAGGAAGATCACTCCAAGCAAAAATACTGAAATCTTGTTTTGGAAGTCTCTGTCGTAAATAGGTCTCATTAAAAAAATAAATTAATTTCTAGTTACAGGAAATTAATAGCTATCGCAGCCTTTTCACCTAAAATACTCACTTCTTAAACTGGTGAGGTCATGTTTTAAATGTTCCGTACATCTGTAACCGCGTGTTACTGAGATCTTTATCACCTACGGTGTCAGCCAATATTTTAACTACAGAAGTAATAAGCAGGTGGGTGGGATTTTTAGAAACGTATCTTGTGTTTCCTCCTAAGCACGGTGACACTGGGAGTCGGGGTAGTGTCCTGCCCTGTTTTTTTGTCACTGACTCTCATTTTTTCGGCATCCACAAGCTTCCCTGGAAGATCCTGACAGTTTCGGGAAGGCTCTGTTACTTTCCAGTCATTTCCAGAAAAACTCCGATGTAGTCTCAATTATTTCCTGAATGTATATATTTATTATTTAAAACTAATTGCAGGAAAGTAGCCGCTGATAGTAGAACGTTTACAATGTATAATGTTGATTAGCTTTCCACAGGGAGCTGTCCTTTGGATGCAATTTTTTTTCCTTCTCATTTTACCACTGTTTCCAAATAATCCCGCGTCCTTCCAGCGAAAAAGCCAGGAAAGCGTCTTCTAAAATGTTCTTTAACACGAAATAACGACGCGTTTGAACATTCACAAAGTACTGATTTCGTGCCTGCCCTCAGTCTATTACCTCAAATAACATCCCACGCTGTGTTCAGGGCAGGCGTTTGCTATCCCGGCTCTTCCTGTGTCCTATTAATAGGACAAATCCGCCCGCGCATGACCCTTCCTACAAGAATTCGGCCACAGTTTGCTTTGACTTATAGCTGACTGCAAAGCTTTAATTAAAAAAATATCAATACATTTTACCCTTTGAAAGCACTTCCATGGGAGCTTGGGGTGGAAGAGTCTCACGCGTGTGCGCCTACAAACCGGGGTAGGTGCGGAGCCTCGCCCGCATCCTGACAACAGGAATCTGCTGGCTTTTAGTAAATAAAGCGTGTTTAGTTTTGTATTTTCTTTTTTTCTCAGGAAACGCGATTTGGTTGGTATGCAAACCGGAGAGCAGCCGTCAGGGACTTGCCACTTATTTCGCCAAACTTTCTCAAGCATTGTCTGTGTGGGAGGTGAAAGTACTTGAATAAAAAGCCTCTTTTTTTTTTTTTTTAAAGAAAAAAAAGCACGCAAACACTCAAAAGAAAACAAAAATGTATTTTTTAAAAAGCCTCATTAAGAAAAAAAATGTAATAGAACACACCTATGTTTTGTTTCTAGAGTAAATTTATCCTTTGCTGAGGGAGAACCCCAGCGCCTCCTGCCCCCATGAAAAGGGTGCCGAGAGGAAGAGCTGCAGTCCAAGGCCAGCTGAAACCCCGGGAACATCACATAACACCGTAACATCAGTTCAGGTCCCGACGGGGACCATTGCCCACCTGAGCACCCCGCGGGGCGGGTTCACAGCCGGGTCCCCACCACGGCCAAGAAGTGGTACCTGCCAAAAAGCCAAGTCTCCTGGGAGGGGTTGGAAGATGCATTTGCGGGAAGACATTAGGAATGAAGGAAAAACAGCTGGTAGAGATGAGCTGGAAAGCTCTATGTGTGTGTATGTATCCCCAGCCAGCACGTCCCTTCTTCCCCCCCCCCCCCCCCCCTCGCCTTTTTTTAGGGGTTAAAACCAGAGTATATTTGCTCAGCAGGTGACCCTCAGGTTTGCTCTCCCGTTTTGCTCTGTCGGCCCCTTTGCGTTTATAGGTGGGTTTTGTGTATTTGTTCCTCAAAAGTAGCTATTATTGCTGTTAATTATTGTAAAAATGTAAAAAAAAAGACGTTAAAAAAAAGTGAATTCATAGCCTGCTAGCAGAGAGGCAGAGAGCACCCCTTGCTCTCCTGGCAGTTGAAATAAGGGTATCGATTTGGGTTAGGGAGCATCCTCCAATTTTAAGGGAGAGGTGCTTGAAGTCAAGAATGCCTTTTCTTTTTTTTTTTTTTTTTTTTTTTTTTTTTTCCCCGCCTTTTCTCTTTTATTGTAGGAAAAAGACATTCCTCCTCCGTGGTCGTTTAGGCTAGCCCTCCCCTGGTAACTCCAGACGGGAGGGAAACAGGCATGCATTGGGTTTTTAATTTATGTTTGTTTCTTTTAAAGATATTTGTCATGCTGCAACCATTATTCCAAGGATCCTGCAAGGTTTTCATTCACCACCCGGTTTTCAGGGCTCCTTTCTTCATGTTGCACCCAGTCCAACTTGAGACTCTGGAGTGGAAATAAGGGAAAAAAAAATCTAGACAAAATAATGATAATAAAAATCTGAAGCAACCTCCCCCCTTTGCTCCCTATCACCCCCAAACCAAGCTGCCCCCAAACAAAATTCTCCTTCGGGAGGGAACTTACTCCTCGTCCTGTCGGCACATTTAAGAGTCATTTTATTTGCCTGAACTTTGGAACAAAGCTGGTTTCCAGAGGAAATTTCCACTCCTGCTGCTGCCTCGCACCAGAGGGCGCCGGGAGCCTTCCCAGGCTTTGCTGCCTCAAGTGCTGCTGGAAATTAACTCTTTGGGCGCTCTCCCTGGAGGCTTTTCTAACCTTTCCCTTTTAAAATACACAGCTAGATTGTAACTTTTTTTCCCGCCCTGTAAAATGCGTCTTGGTTTGTTTGGGTTTGGGTTTGTGAGGGTTTTTTCCCACCCTGTCTTACCCTTTCCCAGCACTTCCAGGGCTTCATGCTCCTGCAACAGCCCCCAGCGCTCTCAGGAGATTTACAGTTTCTCTCTGTCCCTCTTAACTTGGTTCCGATTAAGTCACTGCATCATGTTTGTGTGACGTTACCGTGTTTCCCCTCATAATTGCCAGGGATAAAAGTTTGTCTGGCTGTGTTTAAGCTTAAAGGGTCACTCAGGGCTCTTCAAGCAGAACACCACCGAAGCGCAGCGCCAGGGGAAGAGCAGTGCGTAAACTGTCCCAACGCATCTCCCTGTACCGCCTGTGGTGTTCCGGTCTGGGCCTAAAGGGTGTAAGGCCAAACCCTAATGTGGGGGGCTGACTAATGTATGCTACAGGGTCAGAGCTGTTTTACACTGAGACCTAAGGAAATCCATGGCTTTTCCCATGGACAGGGCGCTGTTGGGAGGACACACCCTGTGTTTCTGTGCCCCAGTGGCTGCATCTGATTTGGTTGTTACACACTCACTTTCTGGCCTGACAGGATCATCAAAGTCCATCTACTGGCCCTGCAGAGACACCCCAACAATCCCACCCTGTCCCTCAGAGTGTTGTCCAAACACTCCTTGAGCTCTGGCAGCCTTGGGGCTGTGCCCAATGCCCTGGGGAGCCTGTTCAGTGCCAACCACCCTCTGGAGGAAGAACTTTTTCATGAGATCCAACCTAACCATGCCCTGACAGAGCTCCAAGTTTGCTACAATTCAAAGAAAACTGCAAGAATAAGTAACCCAAAGAGCAAATACTGCAGGAAATTATAGAAGACTTTATCTGTAACTGGGGATTATAAACCCTCAACTTCAGCAAGAGCATTTCTTGTGTTCATCTGCATATGCAAATACTGTGGCTCACCTTCTGAGTCTCAGTTTTAGTGGCAATGCAGGTTGATTATTCACAGAAAAAATCTGAGGGAAAATATTTGTTATTACTTTATTTTTTTACAAGAGCAGTCTGTTTTCAAACAGCAAAGAAGGACTATTTTCAAGAGGAGACAGTGACAGTACAAGGGGGAATGGATTCACACTGAGAGAGTGCAGAGTTTGACTGGATATTAGGAAGCAGTTCCTCCCTGTGAAGGTGGGGAGGCCCTGGCACAGATTGCCCAGAGAAGCTGTGGCTGCCCCGTCCCTGGTTGGACAGGGCTTGGAGCAGCCTGGGCTAGTGGAAGGTGTCCCTGCCCATGGCAGGGGGTGGAATGGGATGATCCTTAAGGATCCTTCCAACCCAAACCAGTCTGGGATTCTGGGATTCTATAATTCTGATGAGCCACTGGATCCTGGAGTACTCAGTCCTGTTGAATGTTTAGGAACCAATTTAGCTGCTTGTCTGACACATCTCTCTTACTCAGTGAAATGGGCTCAGCTGAAAACTACAATCACTACTGACATATTAAAAAAAGAAAAGACAATGCAGGCCTGAACATTGATATCAGGTGAGTCCTGTTCCAGTGCAATACATATTACCACGTTAAATAATGCTCTGACTTTTTTTTAACACAACTTTTAGGAAGCACATAAACATCTTTTCTTCATGATTTGTGCCATATTTAACCATACCAAAACTAGATCAAGAACTCATCAGTGTGGGCCATGGACAGATGCACAGTGTGTAGTTTCCAACAGATCTGATAATTCTAAATAAATGAATAAAAAGGAAGATATATAATAAGAAAATGAAGAAGAAGGAAGAATAAGCTAAATATTAGGATGCATAATTTCTGTGTTTCCTGTAAACTTTGATGCTATTCACATATCACTTAAGGATCAACAGAAATGCAAAATGCGTGATCTGAAGGTGTGTTAAAAAATCCAAGGGAAAAAACCTATTAAAACCAACACCAAAAAACATTTTAATCCTGGGGGCTGGTGGAAAAACTCAGTTGAAGAGAAATGGTGATATTGTCCATGTGATATTTAAATTGAAATACAGATTTTAAATTTTTTTGTGACTACTTCTCCATTTATGTCATTAATTTAGCATCTGTCAATCAAAAAAAAGGAAAATGCATCAAAGGCTGCTGAGATCTGATTCCATCACTTACTAGTTCATGTTGAGTTTCATCTGTCAGGTGTGTGTGTAAGGTGAGAATTCTTGTCTCAGAGCAAATAGGACAGTGTGCTGGATACTGTAAGACAGCCTCTTGAAAGGCAGCAGCAGCTTTGCCCTGCTGCCCCGGAAATGCCCGGGGTGTGTTGGTGCCCAGCGCGCTGGGCCTGGTGCAGCTCTGACTTTCAGAGCCCTCTCTGCTGCCTGTACACGGGGTCTCAGTGGGCCTTCATGTCTGGCCATGGCACTGACTCACACTTGGTAACTTGACTGATTTTTTTTTGGAGGAGGAGTAGAGGGGCCTTTGAAGAGACTTCTCGACTCTTGGAACAACACGGGGAAAAAAATCATGTTAAAATGCATCTTGGCCCTTATGCCATTTTCATTGAAGCTGATGGTAAAACCCTCTTTCCCTTTACTAGGAACAGGACTGAGCCATTTAAAATGCTATTTCGTAATATAAATCTTTTAAGTCTTAAATATTTCCATACAGTGGAGAAAAGAAGTCTCAAACGTCATCAGAAAGACTGCTTCTTGTTAGGTTGTTACAATGTGCTATTTCTGTTCAAATAACATTTACTAATATGAGAGACAAATACATTTGTACAGTTTGGGAGCCTGACGCTGCAGTTGGGTGTTTGCAGCTTTTATACATTAGGGTATTTATGACAATAATTTTAACTCTTCAGTTGCATAAAACAAAGCCCAGATGTTTCTCAGCAGCATCAGGTCTTTTAGCTGAGCCTTTCTGGAGTGTAGTGCAGAGTTTGGTTACAGTTAAGCTTGAGTCAAAATATTCCAAGAGTATGGAGGGATGACGTGGCGAGGCACAAGTAGGAAGGGGGAAGAGGGACACTGAAGGAGGAAACAATCTTACTCTCCAGCTATGCCAAGTCCCCACCTGTGGGATCATGGAGAACTCTTAAGTTCTCATCTTTGGATCTTCTTCCCTCCTTGGCAGTGGCTCTAAAAAGGATTAAGTGAGAGAACAGCAGCAGAAAAAGCCCTCAAAATACCATGCTCTGGGAAGGTCAGGGAGGTTGCCTTCTCCAGATGTACAGGGGCTCCAGGGTTCTAATTTGAATCTCTCTGTGCTGAGTTGCTGTGATGTCCTGCCCAGCATCCTGTCTTCCCGCCCAGGAATATAATGAGGGCAATGCAATTTCCATGGATTAGTTGTTTGTCTTCCCTGGAGTTAGCCTGGCTGGGTAAGCACAACTGAGCAGCACTCATGTAGTCATACAGGTCTTACCAGTGATCTCCTAATAGGGGGGTATTGTCCAAGTGACAATTGACCTGAGCTTGTGCCAAATGCCACTACAAGTCTCTCTTTTCTTTCTGTTTCTGGGTGTGTTGTGTCCAATGATAGTGTCCTATGATAAGCTTTTCAGGGGACGAACTGTCTTTATAGCTGGTGTCTTTATAGCACCTTATGTAGTGACCCAGGCTTAAAATAGTGGTGATAAGATGCACTCATCTGAAGAAAGATTAACTGATCTTTTAAGTCCATATTTCCAAGTAGATGATGATTAATAAAGAGATTAAAAAAAGAAGAAAAGTGATAAGGTGCATTATACATCTTGGTGAGAAAAGAGACTTTTGCTGTCTCTGCGCTTGCCTTGTCTCAGGAAATATCTACGGCTTCATGTCAAAACACTGGGAAAACACAGAGGTGGTTATGGTGAATACCAAAATAACTCCCAGAGCTACAGATATGCACATAAATGCAAGTATAAAAATGATCACATTTGAACTAACAGAGCTCACTGGGCACATTTGACCTGCAGTAGGAAGAATTATTGTAGTTGCTGTTCAAATTAGTGCGACATGGTCCATTTGGACTGCAAGATCTTCCTGAAATAACAAGGCATTCTCTCTGTGGTTGGATTGAGTGGGATGCAAGTAGAAGGCTCAGTGGGATTTTTGGGTGGGGAGCAGGGTCTGTACACATGCACTGGCATCAGAGGAGTGACTCTTGTTTTTGTTTAGTCCCTCACCTGCCCATGACAGTTCCACGACTGGAACCCAAAGCCCCCCAATTAATACACATGCAATAGGAGACATGATACAAAAAATTTTACGTATTTTCTGGTTCTCACTAACATATGTCTCATGTTCCTCTTTTCATTAGTTCACTGTGACAGATTCCACTTCTCTACCCTAATATCAGCCTTATATTCCATTTTGTTGTTGGTTTATGGCAACTTTATTTTAGATTGAACTTACAAGCCCAAATACCACCATTTAACAGTGGTCCTCTGTCTACTTTTGTGATACCTTCCAGTGTACTCCAGAGGAGCAAAATGTAAAAACTATGGTAGAACAGCCTCCTGTTTTGATGAAAAGTTGCTAGCAGTTATGACATAATTAACTTAACCAACAAGGCAATAAAAATTAAGTGCCCTGTTTGTGAGTGATGCACATCTCATATTAAGGCTAAATTTCCTCTAAGTTATACATTGAAACCTCTTCCATTATGACATTCATAAAATCTTGTATTCAACAACATCGCTTCCTTTCCTAGGTCTTTTGGAATCCAACAAGAGAACTTCAGTTGAGAGAGAAGCAGGGATACACTTCACAAAATGTGTTCCAGCAGTGGGAAAGCTTCGGGAAACTGCTAAAAGCATTATACATTGCATATTTCTCTGACCAGACTTTACTTGAGTGATCAAATGATAGGCTGTTATTTTTTGTATTTCCGAGGAAGTAATATTTTTGCTACTTGTAAGTGACTATTTGTAATTTTTACTATTATAGTAAGCACCTATCCAATCAATCTTGATTTTTAAATCTCTTTTAGTCTCTTGAACAAATACATTTACAAGAAAAATCCGGTTTGTTTAGAATCATGGAATGATTTAGATTGAAAGGGACTTTGAAGGTCATCTGGTCTACCTCCTACTCAAAGCAGACCTAACCTACTAAGATGGGTTGGTTTCCTTTTTTTTTTTTTTTTTTTTTTTGGTATTTCAATAGCAGTATTTTATGGCAATAGTTCTTGCTGAAGAGCTTGTTCTAAACCACTTTCCATTTACTAATTTCCCCTGTTAACTTTGCTGCTATAAATATACCCTGTAGTCACCTTTGGAATCAACAATCCCTGTTCACAATTTATTTTGCTCTTGCCTCTTGCATTGACAATGGCAAAGAATAAAGAGTAAACTGAAATGTGCAGAGTAAAATACAGTTTGGAAAATGTTGCTTTCTCCCATGTCAGAGGGTTTATTATCCCATATTCTGAAGAGTGACCATACCTCAGTCCAGGATTATTGCTTTGAAGATAAAGGAAATGAAACTACTCTTCTACCTTAAGGTCCAAAAGAAAATTACTTCATTTCTGTGTATTTCCAGAGACAAGGAGCTGCTGATCTATGATTCTTCTCAACATATAGGAGAGCTGAACAAAATGTAAAAACCAAAGGCCTGGCTTTGCTCTCAGCTGTTCTGGTATAATCCAAACTCAGCTTCTCTGGGTTGATGAATTTATTCCAGTTTTACTCTACTGTGAACAAACCAGAATTTATTGTATAGTTTGATTGAAAGAATTGGACCATTTTCTTCTGTTTTCAGATGATGAGCTGTTTCTTAGTTGGTCTGTAGTCTCTCTTTCTCACCCTTTCCCTAATCTGTAATTTTAAAAAAGCATATTTGCAAAAGAACAATGACAAACTCTACCTGAAAAACTGTTATACAGTCTTGCAAACTCTTGTTTTTTAAAGAGAAGCCTCCTGCAGACCATGAAACCTGGGAAGGATCCTGTGGAGGACTTGGGCATGTTTAGAAAGCATCCAGAGTAGCTATGACAGCTTCATGTCCTGGGGCCAAGACTCTGTCCACATACCAAATCTCTGACACTATGCAAGATCCTTATCCAATATGAAGAGGAAACTGTAGAATTAGAATTGTCTAAAATAACCCCTAGAGAGACTATTGCTGGTTCTTGAGAAGATTTTTTTTTTTTGACATCTTAAATACAGCTTTTTATAAAAATGTCCAAAATAGGAAACTTGTGAAAGAAGCCCTGGAAAAACAGGTTCCCAGCTAGGTCCTTTTTTGTTATTTGCTGTGATTTCTTTAACCTTCTTTGATCAGTTAAATGGACTTGGAGTGTTCTAGAAGCCTCTGAAATATATCAATATAATTTTCTTGGGTTTATATTTGAAATGGGAGTGGTATCCAATGTGGGTTTCAGCTCTTCTAATCTGGATGAGCTGGGATTAATGCTGAGTGTAGAGAGGGAGGCTGATCTCAGCAAAGGGAGATGGGCAGGGTCCAATCCATTACCTGGTCCAGGCAGTTTGGATGCTGACTGTCTTTTTTGATGTTACATATGGAAGTGAAGCATTCCAACTGATAAAAATCTGCTTTTCCATGCAATGAATATGTTGGCTACAGTGCCTGCAGCCTGTGCTTTCTGGTAAAAGCTGAGCTCTGTGTTAATTCTCTTAGTTATTGATTGGTAATATTATTTCTGCTTCCTGTCTCTGCAATGAGGTCTTTACATCCTGCCTGTAGTTGATCCCTTCCTGTTTCTCTGGCTATGGAAGTGTTCTGCAAAGCAGGTTTTTATAAAGGAAGAGAGACCTGGAAAATGCATTACTAAAGGTACTGATTTAAAAAAACAGGTGCATAAATGATGTTTTGGTTTCAGTAGCCAGGATGAGGTTTTGAACATTGGCTCAGGCAGAACCAAATTCAAACATTTTAATAATGGCATATTAACATAACTGCCTTATGCAAAATATTTCTGGCCACTTTTAAAGAAAATAAACAGAAAGAGTGATATATCTGGATAAAAAGGAGCAGATGGTAATTTTCATTATTCCTCCCTTCCCCTCTCCTTTTACTTGCATCCCAGTGAGGGAGAACTGAAAGACAAAATCTCCTCTTTAGTGAATTTAGAACAGAAACTGCAAAATAGATATCCCAACTTATGCCTTAACCTTTGCCCTGTGGGGTCATGCTCTTAAATGCTCTTCATCTGGATTAATAGAGCCAAAGGATTTTCGTCACTGAAAAAAAATGTTCAGATTTTACATGAGTTAAGGACTGCTTTGATTTGTGAAAACTCACTTTCAGTATATAAGTTCTTATCAAGGAAAAACTCTCCACCGTGATAATGGTTATCTGCAAGTCAGTTTTAACTTGGCACCCTTTGTGTTTGGCAGCAGATTTTAGCTTTACATAACATTGAGTTATTATTAATGTACCATATTGCAGATTTTATGAAGGAATTGAGTTTTCAAGGGTTGTTTTTTTTTTCTTAAGTCAGGAAATGCTACAGATAAGCTTTTTACAGGCATGTGACTTTATGCTCTACACATCCCATGCATTTCATTATATTTCCCTTAACAATCATTAGGTTAATGCACATATTTAGTAATCAAAGACATGTATTATACCACCTCAATATGAGAGGTGTCACTTTATGTTTCAAGATCTTTTTCATTCTCCACATTTATAACGTGACCAATGTTAATATTGCATTGGCACTGGTTGGAGTTTCTTTTACTGGACACAGGTCTAAGGACATCTGACTGGTTCAAGGTGTCTGTCACATGAGGTACAGAATTTCTTTCAGTAAAGATTGCTTTGTTTTTAAATTCAAGTGAATCAGAAAAAATACCTGTAAAAGGCTAAAAAGTGCTTAAGGGCAATGGAGGATGCACTTGGTGACAGCAGTTCATACAGGGCTGGGGAAAGTGGTATGAGCCTGGCATGTATATAGGGATGGCACTTAGTAATTGGTTATTCTGTTTGCCTTTTTTGTTGACTGATGTTTTTATCTGGCTCTCTGGAGTGAGGTATGCTGGATAAACTGTGGCTTTCCAAAAGGAAATACTGAAGTAACCCACAAGGAGCCATAAGGAAAATAAACTGTAATTTCTAACACACAGCACATGAAGAAAAGCCCTTTCACATCACTTTGTTTCCTGCTCAAAGCTGTTTCTCAAACTGTGTAAGATCTCCAGCTCACATTATTGTTCTAAAGGGGCTTCATATAAGGAGGCCTTTTTTAGTCTAGCAAGGCTAATGAGGTCCTATAGCAAAAAGATACACAGTATCAGTAAGTAAACAGCTAATCTGTCATTAATGTTCAGTGTGTGCATTAATTTCTAAATGCATATTAATTTGGTGTAACTTTCTGTCCTTGTACTAGAATTGAAAGTAGGACATCTGTGAGTCCAGTAATTTAAACAAATTAACTAAACCCCTTTTTAACAAAAGACTTGGCATGGCCATGTTCCTAAGGTGCTCTTTCTCTGCTTTCCAAAGCTGGAGTGGATTGTACTCTATGGGCATCGTCCTCCCGTGTCCCTCACACACCAGCCTTGTTAGTGCAGCAATCGAGCACTGCTGTCATAGGAAAAGCCACAGCACATTTCTGATGTTCCTGTGATCCATCAGCATTGCCAGTCTCCCCACTTCCTTTGTGGAGGACACAAATTTTTGTAGCTGGAGTTGAGGGATGAGACATCCTATCGCTATATGCAGAGGTAACGGAGCTTTTTAGGTCAGAGATGTTGCAGATGTTTCTTTTAGGCCCACATTAGAAAGTTTTGCTCATACACTGATGTCAGCCTGGGTCTGAAAAAAACATAAATCCCACCTGCCTGGTGGAGCTCAGCCAGCAGAGTTCCTGGTGTGGACACAGCTGTGCTGCCAGGAAAAGGCTGCTGCCAGATTAAGCTGTTGAGTTCAGAGCCTGGTGCAACTCCAGGGACTGTAACTGCAGACAGAGGCTCCTGAGGGCAGCAGTTGAGATGGTGTGAGAACAAAGGGGAGACAAAGACATTGAGAAAGTGCGTAAGAACACAGCAAGAGCCATTGGCAGGTCTGATAGTAGGTGTCCCTTCTGACTGCAGGAGTCCCTTTGAAAACTTCCCACTCCATAAATCCATTTTTTCCCCACTTGGAAGCTACATTTCTTATGTGTGCCAGTTTCCACTGGCTGCAGGAACATCTGCTGATGGGACTAGGTTTTCTTTGCTTAGAAACACCAAGCATTTATTGCCCTTGCACTAGCACCTAAATGCTGAAGAGTCTGTCCCAGGAGGACTGCTTTGTACAGCAGGGAGGAGCTGGGTCTTCAGCCAGATCCTAGTGGGACTGTGAATGCCTCTGGTTCTCAGCAGATACTACAATAAGTTAGAACTCTCTCTGCCTGCTTCACAGTCTCAGTCACAGTCACAGTCACAGCCACAGTCACAGTATGCAAAAGGACTGCAAAAACCCATAACCCAGCAGTATATCATGTTCAAAGTATTTCTTCTGTCATCACATGCATCTGACTTGGGTTATCAGAAAGCCACAGAGAATTACACCAGTGAGGAAATATTCAAAGGTCAGCCCAGGCTCAGTTTGAGTGACAGGTGATGATTGTGTTTTTACTAAGCTTTCTGTCTCTGATACCTGCTGATGTAGGAATGGTTAAGTTCCTGGGAGCCAGCAGCTCCAGGACCCTTTAGTCCATGGGGACTTGTTTAATTACTCTTTCTTCCTGGGGTGAACATGAGAAAGCCACAGCAGTGGCAGAGAAACATGACTGTGATGCTCTTTGACCAAAATCAATTGTCCAAAGCACTTCAGCATGGAAAAAATGTCACTGGGCAATGAAAACAACAGGAGTTAGTGGAGTGAAGGTGCTGGAGA